GAGCTGCCGAGAGAGGTCCCCTGCCTTCAGTATCGATGCCATGCTGGAATGACTCTATCGATCTAGCATGAATAAGGAGGTATACCAGCAAGAGACTCCATGTGGGGAAGCAGTTGAACTAGGACTAAAAGAGGAACACTACAAGGAGACATATTTGGACTCAACATAAGGAAGGGCAGATATCCTAGCCGTCAGAGTGGCCCAGGGGTGAGCATGGCTGTCTTGGGAGGGAATGAGCTGCCGGTCGCTGAGTAGATGCAAGTTCGCTTTTTCTGAGGCCCTTAATAATAGACACTGTACTGAGCACTTACATATGTCATCTTTAGGTCCTTGATCACCTAGGCACTATTGTCCCCAGCTTACAGATGAGGAAACTGAGGCTCAAAGAGATTGACTTATTGGTGGTTATGCAGATGGTGAATGGGGGAGCCATGACTCAAACCCAAAGCTCTGCCTGTGTCCATACATCTACCGAGTGCCTGCTGTGTGTCCAGCAGGGACGGACCATTTAGTCCCAGGCCTCACCCTCATGGAGATCGCATCCCAGTAGGAGTGAGACAACCTGGAGTAATGAGTGCTGACATAGAATCGACCAGGACAGGTGAAACCAACAGTAAGCTGGGGTCAGGGAGATTCGGGAGTCAGGGAGGCCACTCTGAGGTGGTGGCATCTGAGCTGAGACCTGGAGGGCGAGAAAGCTTGGAGAGCGTTATGAAGAGCTGGGAGAACAATGCTCTGAGCAGAGGCAACCACAGGTGCAAAGGCCCGGAGGTGGGGCAGGGGAAGACCAGTGTGGGAGGAAAGGCCAAGGTGGGGGCCAGGTCATTCAAGGCCTGGTCAGCCAGGGTTTGGCCTTCATTTGAAATTATCGGAGGATTTTACACCAGCAGTGCACTACAGACAACTCATACCAGCCCCTAAAAACCACCTCTTACATCTTTGCAAGCAAGTTAACTATTAGTAGCTTGAAATCAGCCACAGTGGGAGCATTTACACCATGGAAAGTGGCATTTACACCATGGAAAGTGGCATTTACACCATGGAAAATGGCATGCGCCACAAATCATGGCTCTGTGCTCTGGGCAGTAAGGTGGTTGGTTATTTTTCTGCATTGCACTGGCTTTAGGCAGGGACATGGGGAGATTGGGCTGCACTTTAAGGAGAACTCTGGCTCCTGGGTGGAGAATGGCGAGCAGGAGGGGAGGGTGTTGCACTGGTGCATGCAGGAGATATGGGGCTTTGGACCAGGGTGGGCCAGTGGATGGATTTGAGCGATTTTAGAAGCAGAACCAGCGGGCCTTGCTGAGGCTCTCCCTGGTGCAGAGCAGAGAGGAGGGTGGAGGAGCCAGGCTGGGGGTCTCACAGAAGGAGCAGCCACAGCACCGCATCCTGGGCCCTGGGACTTGCCTCCTCCTGCACCCAGTCTGGGAGGGAGCGGACGGGACAGATCTCGGAGAGTCTATCTCCATGGAGGGTTGAGGAGACCTAAGCATTGTCTGGTCTTAGCAAACTCCCAGCAGAATAAATAGGCCATGCTTGCCTTCCCTGCACCCACTCAGCCCCCAGCTCCCAGCCCCCAGGCTGCACACACCCCCACCCTTCCCCAAACCACCTTTGGCAGCCAACCTAGCAACAGGGCTCCTGGGCTCCAGCCCCTCCCTCTGTCAGAATGCTCTCTCAGGAAAGGGTCCTTGCTAGCGTGTCACTGCCACGGTGGCCTTCTGGAGGGAGAGAGAAGGGAGGGCAGAGAACAGAACAAAGGCTGACTGAGTGCTGCTGCACGTCAGGTTCTGTGCTGCTTGCTCACCTCAAAGAGGCGCGATCATAGACGTTTCCCCTCATGCCCTGCCCCTAGGATAAGGCCTGCAAAGTTTACTCGCCCGCTTCTAGACTGCCTTCTGCACGCGCCCACTCATTAATTTTTTAAAATGAGGCAAAGCTAAACGTTCCATGTGGATCATCTCGTTTAATCCTGGGTGCTGTTACCTCGCCGTTGTACTTTTGGAAACTGAGGCTCAGAGTGGTTATGCACGTTCCCTAAGGTCACACAGCTGGCCGTCTTGCCTGGCTCCACAGACTCCCTCTGCATCCTCAGCATCACTTACTGCTGGGGAAGGCTGGCCATGTCCTCGTGGGGGCATTTGGGGCTGCAAGGCAGTCGGGGTTGGAATTCTGGGCCGAAGGCCTGATCTGGCCCATCCTTCTGCTGTGCCGTGAGACTCAAGCCCTGGGGTCAAATTCCAGCCCCAGGAGTCCTTGTTAAGGCTTTAAAGGGGGTGGAGGGGGGATTCTACTGCCATGTGATTGGGGCTCTGCCCTTGAAGCGGGCTCCCAGCTCCCAGGGTTCCCAGCTGTCTGGAACGGATGGCCTTGCCTTGGGTCTCTCTCCTAAAGCCCAGGGGACAGAGCCAGGCTGGGAGGTCTGGGCCCCGGGCCCCTCACCAGCTGTGTAACCTTGGCAGTTCCCGCCTCTCTCTCAGCCTTGTCTTCTCTCTTCTGAAGTTCCTTTGAGCTCCAGTGTAAGCCCCCAATTCTCCCCCTGGACAGGGAGGGTGGGGTCTGCAACTTGCTGGGGGAGGGGGGGAGGGGGGGAGATAGAGTGGGGAGGGGGAGGAGGGAGAGGAAGAAGAGGGGAACTAGGGAGGGGAAAGAGGGGGAGGAGATGTGGTGGAGGGGAGGAGGGGAAGGTGGGGGAAGAGGAGGAAGAACCAGAGTGTGAAGAGGGCTCTGAGGCAGGTAGTTAGGGAGGGAACAGGTTCAGGAGTCCATAGACCTAGGTTCAGAGCCCAGCACAGGACATGTGCAGGGCGCCTGTGCTCAGGACAGCCCGTATTTGGACTTACGTTCTGCTGTTGCTGACATGAAATTCTTAATTTTCTGAATGGGAACCCAGCATTTTCATGTTGCACTGGGCCAGCCCTGCGACCCGTTAGTTAGCTGCGTGTCCTTGGCAAGTTACTTCCCCTCCTGGACCCAGTTTTCTCATCTGCAAAACAGAGCAGGGCGTCCACCGCCTTGAAGATTGTTTGGAGAAGTACATGGGCGACTCCAGGCAAAGGGCCAGGCAGGGTAAACCCATGATCCGCGTCCATCTCTGGCCATTGGACAGTCGCTCCTTAGGGCCTGACAGGGAGAACTCTCACAGGAGCAGCCGCAGTCTCTCTCCCAGCCTTGTCCCCTGCACCCTGGACACTGCCCAGGACACCTCGGGCCAGAGATACAGTCCTTCCTGGGAAGCAGATGGCTCCACCATCCCTACACCCCCTGTCTGCGGTGGTGCCGGGTCAAGCGGGTTAGGGCCCGGCAACTCAACCTCCCAGAGGGTCCTGGAGTTCCGACAGAAGGGTTAACCTCTCAGCTCAGTGCCCGGCCGCAGGGCTCCGTGGTTGAGCATCAACCTATGAACCAGGAGGTCATGGTTCGATTCCCGGTCAGGGCACATGCCCGGGTTGGGGGCTCGATCGGCAGGACGCAGCCAATCAATGATTCTCTCTCATCATTGATGTTCCTATCCCTCTCTCCCTCTCCCTTCCTCTCTGAAATCAATAATTTATTTTTTAAATATCAATTTCTCAATAGTGAGACCTTGGGCGAGTTACTGAACCTCAGGGGCCTCAGTCTCCCCACCTGTGAAGTGAGGGCTCTGCCAGGTGGTGTGTCGCATTAGGGTGAGCCCTGCAGGAAGGTGCTCAGCACTGTGCCCACAGAGGTTGGCCGCCACCGCCGCTGGCCGCCTGCCTCGTGTCCACCCTGAGCGGGCGCACCCTCTGCAGCCAGGCTGACCAGGCCACGCCCTCAGCAGAAACCCCCCAGCTGCCGCTGCCTCCTCGCCTGGCTCATCTGAGCCTCCGTGTGCTGAGCTCAGCATCCCTTTCTCCTTCTCCAGCCCGCAGCTCAGGGTTGCTCTGGGAAACCTGCTGCCCCCATTGTGACAGGACGGCCCACGGGCGGATCTGCAATGGGCAGGTCACAGGACAGAAGGCAGCAGTGTGAGGTCATGGCCCACAGGCGGATCCTGCAATGGGCAGGTCATGGGACAGAAGGCAGCATTGTGACGTCACGGCCTAGGGGCGGATCCTGCAACAGGCAGGTCACAGGACAGAAGGCAGCATTGTGACGTCACAGCCGGCTGTGGCTTGTGCTCCTGGATGGTGAGTCAGCAAGGCCGCTTCCTCCTCCCAAGCTCAGGTACGCATGTCTGATCTGGGGGTGGAGACGCTGAGCCTGTGGCCCCTCACCTCCTCTCCGGGCCCCTCCTCTGTGCAGGGGCTGGGCCAGGAGGCGCCCAATGCATGGTGCCCCTGGGAGACTTTCTTCTCCTTTTGGTATAACTGGGGGCCAGACTTAGGCGAGGGGCCCAGGAACTCTTTGCAAGGCGGGTGGAAGCTCCCCGGTAACTAGACCAGCTTCCCAGCCAACCACGAGCTTATTCAAAGCGTCTGTCTCATCTCCACTCCAACTCGGTCAGCTCTGTGTAAGCTCAGAGTTTGTGGTGTCGGCTGAGTGCGTGCCTAGGCGGAGGGATGGGCCGGGAGAGAGACGACAAAAGCGCCTCTCCCTCTGGGGCAGCTGCTGAGCCAGCCCAGCTCTGACCCTGGCCATCCTGGTGCCACGGAAACCAGCACCTGTTGGGAGTCCGGCATGTTGGTGCCCTCAGGACCTGGTGGAGATGGGGCCGTCCCAGTTATGGGGTGACAGGGCCATAGGCTGCTCCAGAACAGCACGTTTGGTCCTTCCAGAGCTGGGGTGCAGCTCAAAGACCCCAGATTTTGGATTTAATGAACCCCGAGTCCAAATCCAGCCCTACTGTGCATCCTTGAGCTGGGCACCCGGCCCCCTCTGAGCCTGTTTCCCTTTCTGTGAAGTGGGAGTGTACCCTGGCCACCGAGGACTGCCGGAGCACCAGAAGACCAAGGCCGCTGCCCTGCGTGTGGCCGTCACCTTCCCGCCTGGCCCCCATGACCCTCGCCCTCCAGAGCGGCCTGGCGTGGTGAGGGGCAATGCCAGGGGCCATGGACACGGGCCAGGCGTCCGGCCTGAGCAGTACTGGCGATGGCGACAAGGACAGATACCTGCAGGTGCTGTTACAGGAACTCTGCCAGCTCCAGGCCAAGTACGAGTTTTCCAGGCCCCGCCGGTCCCTCAGCCTCATCCCCAGAGCCGCCTGCCGTGGGCTGAGTGGCTGGGACTCAGCTAAAATGCCAGGCCAGGAAATGGGGAAGGAGAGTGAGGCCTGGGAGTAAAGGGGGAGGGGCAGCTGAGGCGAGGGGGGTGGAGGGGCTGGCTACCGTCCTTTCACCTGAGACCCTGGAGATCCTCCACAGGCAGGATCCCCATCACGGAGGCAGGATTCCCATCATGGAGGCAGGGCCCCTATCACAGAGGCAGGGCCCCATCACGGAGGCAGGATCCCCCATCACGGAGGCAGGATCCCCCATCACGGAGGAAGGATCCCCCATCACAGAGGCAGGATCCCCCATCACGGAGGCAGGATCCCCATCACGGAGGCAGGATCCCCATCACGGAGGCAGGATCCCCATCACGGAGGCAGGATCCCCATCACGGAGGCAGGATCCCCATCACAGAGGCAGGATCCCCATCACGGAGGCAGGATCCCCATCACAGAGGCAGGATCCCCATCACGGAGGCAGGATCCCCATCACTGAGGCAGGACCCCCCATCACGGAGGCAGGATCCCATCACGGAGGCAGGATCCCTCATCAGGAGGCAGGATCCCCATCATGGAGGCAGGGTCCCCATCACGGAGGCAGGGCCCCCATCACGGAGGCAGGGCTCCCATCACGGAGGCAGGATCTCCATCACGGAGGCAGGGCTCCCATCACGGAGGCAGGGTCCCCCATCACAGAGCCAGGGCCCCCCATCACAGAGGCAGGGCTGTGGGTGCCATCCTGTGCACCTGTTGGCCCAGCCCCTCTATCATCAGCCTGCGAGGTTGCCGCGTGGCTCTGAGTGGAGACCCTGGGTCCTCGCCTCCCAGGGGGCCCTTGGATTTCAGGCCGCCCACAAAGGCTTGGATTAGAGGAAAATGGCTGTGTCTGAGCAATTTTTAGGGAAGAAAGGTCCAACCCCTTCATCAGGTTCTAGAAGGGCTTCCCGGCCCCAGGAGGTTTAGCACCGTGGCTCATAGGGCCCCGCGTGCTAGTTGCAGGAAAAGACAAATTTTCCTGCATTTTCTAGGACCATGTGGATGAGAACATGGGGCCTGAGAGGCAGAGTGGCTTGCCATGGATCACTCTGCTGTCACTCAGAGATTATCCCCCCCACCCCCACCCCCCGTCGGCTCAGCCAGCTGGCCGGGGCAGGCCCTACTCTGCCCTCTGCCCTCTGCCCTTGACCATTGACCTTGACTAGGCCCAGGGTGGAGACTCATCTTGCTTAGGGATCCCCTGAGAGTCAGACACAGCTGGGCGGCAGCATGTGGCCCTCTCCCCTCCAGGGGGTGCTGGGTTCCTGACCTCAGACTGGGTGCTTATGAGGTGCTAGGATCCCCAGGCACAGTCCCGGGCAGCCTGTGGGGGAGGGTCTCTCACGACCCCCATCGCAGATGGGCACAGACAGGTAAAACCCCTGCCAGGTCTCCGGCTGATAGGGGCTTAAGCCACCCAGCACCTGCTCAGCCTCCAGGAGAGGCAGCGTAGGCCCCCAAGCCGGAAAATCCTGGCTTCGCTCCCCGGGGCCCTGCGTCACCGCCCTCAGGCGTCTCTCTGGCCTCTCTGACCTCGGTTTGCTCAGCAGCAAAATGGAGTGGACAGACTGAAGGCAGTGGCCCACGGATGGCGGGGGGTGGACGGCCAGCACCACTCTGAGCAGGGGACCACAGAGGGTGGCCCTGCAAGGGTCAGGATCTGGGAGCCTCCCAACCACAGCCTCCTGTCTGGCTCACACCGTCACTGCAATGTCCCCACAGGCAGAGGAAGCTGAAGAGAGAGATGGAGAAGTACAAGCGTTTTGAAGACTATCTGATTAAGGTCCTCGAGAAAATCCCCAAGGGTACGTATGCAGCTTCCTGTGTGTGGCCACTTCCTAGACTCAGGAGTGGAGCAGTGTGTGGCCTCACTAAGCCTTTAGCGCAGTGGTTCTCAACCTTCTGGCCCTTTGGATACAGTCCCTCACGTTGTGACCCAACCATAAAATCATTTTCGTGGCTACTTCATAACTGTCCTGTTGCTGCTGTTATGAATCGTCATGTAAATATCTGATATGCAGGATGGTCTTAGGCGACCCCTGTGAAAGGGCCGTTCGGCCGCCAAAGGGGTCGCGACCCACAGGTTGAGAACCGCTGCGAGTCTAGCTCATCTCGGGAGGGTGATCCGTGGAGGCCGATGCCCGGTGTTTGAGGAGGGCCCGGGTGCAGAGCCAGCCTGCCTGAGGGCCCAGGCTTGCCAGCACCGACCAAGTGGCCTGTGGTAGGTTCTCAGAGTCGTGGTTTCTGAATCTGTACGATGGAACAGCAGCAGCTGTGTGGACTAGATGAACGCCTCTTTCCTAAGCATGTACCGGGGCCCGGCATTTAGCTAGCACCCAGTCACTCTGAGCTACTGTTACTAGTCTTTTGTTTGTCTTTGGTTTGTGTTTGTGTTTTGCTATTATCAACTAAAATTACGCAGACAACTGAATGGGTTTTTGTATCTTGTTTTGTTTTATCCTGATTTATACCAAAATCCACTGTTACAGTGCTGAAAACTTGTTAGGAAAGGGAAGGGAGACAAACACGTTTTTATTTTTATTTTTTTCAGAGAAGAAGGGAGAGGGGGAGAGAGAGAGAAAGGTCAATGATGAGAGTCATGGATTGGCTGCCTCCTGCAGGCCCCCTACTGGGGATCGAGCCCAGCTGGAGTTCTGGGGCGCCAGCAGAAGCCCCATCTACCTTATTAGCATCGCCCACTGAAGGGGCGGGTGAGGGCCAGCTCTCTGCCCACCCACCCCGCCCAGCACTGTCTCCATAGGTTACAATGAAGGGCAGGAGACGGAGGAGGCCCGGGAGGAGGCCCTGGTGGAGGCCCTGGTGGAGCATTACGGGAAGCTCTTCACCGTCAGCCAGGACATCCAGAAGCACCTGGAGGCCTTCTCCAAGATGAGCCAGGCCGTCCACCAGAGCCTGGAGTCCCTGGAGGAAAGCCATCGAGCTCTTATTCCGGTAACAGCTGCCTGCAGCCTGGCCCGTCCCCACTGGCCCAGAGAGGGGGGGTCCTAGGGCCCCCTCCCTCCCCAGCCCGGAAGCAGTGGTGGGGCTGTCACTCCAGAGACCTGCCCTGTATCCCTTCCTCTGCCCTTCCGCTGGCTGGCTTGGGGTTTCTCCTGAGGCTTGGCTTACGCTCACAAGGTGCTCTTTGTGGTAGAAAAGCCACGAGTTCTGGACGCAGACAGCCTGGGGTTCAAATCCCAGCTCAGCCTTTCTAGATGCACAACCCTGGGCAAGTCTGCACCCACGCCAAGCCTCAGTTCCTTCATCTGTCAAATGGGGGCCATGCAACTTAGCCACTTCAGTGGTCGGCAAACTGCGGCTCGCGAGCCACATGCGGCTCTTTGGCCCCTTCAGTGTGGCTCTTCCACAAAATACCGACTTCTGCGCATGGGCCACGAAGTTTCAATCGTACTGTACATGCGCGCACGCACGTGGTATTTTGTGGAAGAGCCACACTCAAGGGGCCGATGAGCCGCATGTGGCTCACAAGCCACGGTTTACCGACCACAGCACTAGGTTATTGAGAGACACCGAACTCAACCTGTCTCAAAGGAAGTGCCCCCACGAAGTCCTCTCTCTGTGCGTCCTTCTTGGTTAGTCTTGCAATAAACAGAACTTTCGCCAGGGAGGTTGGGCATTCCAGGCAGCAGGAACTGCCCGGTCAAAGGCATGGCAGGACTCACGTGCGTGCTGCAGCTGGGGCCTGGGGCCAGGGAGGGGGAGGGGACACCAGAGGGAGAGGAAGGCTGACAGGTTGACTGACTCTTGCAAAGGACCATTGGCGACGTTTGCAGCGAGTCCTCCCCCTGGTGGCAGCACTGAACACCTACACCACTTTGCACCTTCTTCCTTCCTTTGGAGAACCAGGGCCTGTATGGCTGGCGGCACCGCAATGAGCGTTTTACGTGCTTTATCTCCTTTAAATCTCGCCAGCACCTCCAGGCAGGTGCTCTGCCCCAAGGGCTGAGCGAGGGCAGGCGAGCAAGAGGAGTGTGTTGCTGCAGGGTTGGCTCCCATCTTTTTAAAAAATGGTAATATTTTGTTCATCGTGAACTTTTTTGCATTAACTTTGATTTTTTTAAAAATATATTTTTATTGATTTCAGAGAGGAAGGAAGAGGGAGAGAGAGAGAGAACCATCCATGATGAGAGAGAGTCATGGATCAGCTGCCTCCTGCACGCCCCACACTGGGGATCAAGCCCACAACCCGGGCATGTGCCCTTGACCGGAATCGAACCTGGGACCCTTCAGTCCGCAGGCCACCGCTCTATCCACTGAGCCAAACCAGCCAGGGCATCTTTGATTTTTTTTAATTGCATTAAGATATTGTTTATCCTGTTTGTTTGCTGAGGGTTTTTTAATGCCCTCTTGAGTTTAACACCTTAGTTGCTGCCATGCTGTCCTTCCCATTTTCGAGGTGAGAAAACTAAGGCTCGAGACATGAGGACACGGCAGAGGTCCTGTGTCTTCCAAACTCAACGGGGCCTGGAGGCGGGACTGTGCTCAGCACAGCGTGGTGGCCGCAGCCTGGCTCCCCACTGTCCTCCCAGCAGCCCCTTGCGGCCAGGAGGGCACAGGCCGATGGCTCTGGGTCTGACGAGGAAAACGGGGTTCTGGGGGCTGAGTGGGGATTCTGTCCCCAGGCGGCCTCTGCTGCATCTCCTGGTGCTTTCAGTGGCCCCACCTCCCACCCCAGCATCACTCAGACCGCCCTGGGCAGTGGGCTTCTCGGGCCTGGGCAGGCTCGTGCCCCGAAGTGACCCAGCCCTTCTCCCCACAGACCCTCAAGATCCGGCTGTGCCAGCTGCAGAAGAGGTGTCACCGCAGGCAGGAACAGTGGCAGTCGGGACACAGTGTCCCCTTCCAGAAAGACACGGGCAGCCATAGTGTGAGTCCAGTCTGCTGGCCCAGGGGCGGAGGCTGCTGTCTCCTCACCCCCAACACACACACACACACACACACACACACCCCACTTACCCGCTTGCACCATGGTGACTGCTAGCTTTCGAAAGGCTTCTCTAAGATGGGGCAGGTGTCACTTTACCGGCGGGCAAAACTGCAGCCACAGACCCAGCTCCACCAAGAACCGGAGCTGGGATCTCCGGCCCGGGCCCAGGGCCCGGCCTATGCTGGCTGCTTGATCAGTCCTTCTGTCATGCCTGTGGTGAATAATAATGACATTGAAATGAGTGGTTGCTGTGCACTATCTTTGATCATTAACCAGGGAGGGCTTAGCCCAAGGCCTAACCCAGAGTAGGCACTCCGAACTATTGCTTGGTTTTCCCCATACCCATTTCACAGATGAGAAAAGTGGTGCTCAGGAGAGCAAGTCATGGTCGAAGTTCATGACCAGGGCCAGGATTTCTGAGCTTAGGCTCTCGAGCTGCTTCTTACTGGCCTTCGGAATATGAATTCCTGACCCCCGCCCCCAGTCCTCACCCATGAAAAATGCTCAGAACTGTGGCCTTCCAGCCTCGGGCTGGGGCTGCTGGAAGGGCACAGGGACTGAGGCCTGGGGCACAGGGCTGCTCTGGGCACACTCCACCCGGGCAGGGTGTGGTCATCGGATGTAGGACCTTCCCAGGCCCCGTAGGACCCTAATTTGGAAGACATGAAAGTTGGGGTCTGTAGGCTGCTGGCCCCCAACCAAGGAGCTGGGAGAGGGAGCAGGCTGGCACAGGTAAGAGCCCCTTCTGGGTCTTTTTAAGGTGGGAAGCAAGGCTGCCGCAGCTGATCGCCACCCCGGAGGCCTCAAGTCCAGGACGCAGGCGCTGCCTGGAGTGCGGAGCGCTGGGTGCCTCCAGGCCCCTGCCCAGCCCCTGCCCCAGGTGTGGACCACCGACATCTCCAGCCAGGAGGACCCTCAGGCCCTGCGGGCAGAAGGGTCTGGATAAAGCCCTTGGGGAGTGGGGCACAGACCAGGATGAGAAGGTGGCTCCTGGCTCCCGATCGCTTCTCTGACCTGAGAGAGCTGGGGCCAGGGGGCCAGGGGGCCAGGGGGCCAGGGGGCCAGGGGATTCTGGGAGAGGGCTGAGCCGCTGCCCCCCCTCCGCTTCCTGCTCCTCTTGCAGAGCCAGCTGCTCAACTATATGCAAATGGCCATCGACAACATGGCCCAGCAGTGCTGCTCCTCTGACTGCGTGGAGCCCAAGAGCATGGGCCTCTTCTCCAAGCTCGACCTGATTCAGGTGACGCCTCTCTGCTTCCCAGGCTGGCCCAACCTCAGCCGATTCGGGGTGCATTCGTGGTTAGCCCCCCATTAGCCCCTTTCTCTATGGCTGCATGGGCTCCTGGTGCCCATGAGGTCTGGGTGTCTCCATTAGTCTCTCAGCAAACTTATGATGAGCACCTATGAGGTTCAAGGTCGGAGGTGGGTGTCAAGGAACTCCTGCCCTGCTGGCCTGTATGTGCAGCCCCCCCGGCACATCACACACTCACACATACACACACACACACACACACACTCACACACGCACACTCACACACGCGTGTACACACTCATACAGACATTCACAGGTGCTCTCTGCACACCTAACATACACACAAAACATACACTGACACCTGCAAACACACACACCAAAGTGCACACGCATGAGGTCCCACATTTACACGTGTGTATGCTGGGAGGGGCATTCGGGGGGTAAGGGAGCTGTGTAACAAGACCTCAATTTAAACTTCAGACTCTCAGTCAAGTCCAGGGAAGTGTCCCTTCTCACTGCCCCGTAGGCCCAAACCCCCATCATCATAACGCTGGTGCTCCGTGACAGGGAACATGTGACCACATTGGCTTCCACTGACAGCAGAGCATATATATTTTTTTATTTTTAATCACAGTATGGTTGTGATGTAATTCAGATATCATAACATTTCCCCGTTCAAAGCGCCCGCTTCAGGGTTTTCAGTATAGAATTGCCCGACCATCATTAGTACCTAATTCCTGAGCGTCTTCATCGCCCCCACAATACATGTTGCATCTGCCTTCTTTCACTTCACGTACGGTCTTCAAGTTTCATCCGTACAGGAGCATGAATCAATCCTTCCTTCCTTTAAGTGGCTGAAAATAGCCCATTGTTTGGCTAACCCTCACTTTGGTTAGCCATTCATCAGTTGATGGGCATTTGGGTTATTTCCTTTTTTTTTTTTTTTTTACTATTATGAATAATGCTGCTATGGACATTCATGAACATGTTTTCGTGTGGACATTCTTTTCACTTACTTTGGGTATACACCTCGGAGTGGAATTTGAGTCATGCGGTAACTATGTTTGAGGAACTGCCATACTGTTTTGCAAAGTGGCTGCATAATTTTACAACCCTAGGGTCCATGTATGCGGCCTCCAATTTCCCCATTTCCTCGGCAACACTTGGTATTATCTGTCTTTTGCAACTTAGCCATCCTAGTGGGCGTGAAGTGGTATCTCATTGTGGTTTTGATTTGCATTTTCTGGATGACTAAGATGAATGTTGAGCATCTTTTCATAAGGTGTTATTGGCTGTTTGTATATCTTCTTTGGAGAAATATCTATTCAGATCCTTTGCGCATTTTTAAATTGGATCGTTTGTCTTTATTGTTGAGTTGTAAGAATTCTTTTTTTTAATTAAATCTTTATTGTTCAGATTATTACATTTGTTCCTCTTCCCCCCCCCCCCATAACTCCCCTCCTCCCAGTTCCCGCCCCACCCTCCGCCCTCACTCCCCACCCACTGTCCTCATCCATAGGTGCACGATTTTTGTCCAGTCTCTTCCCGCATCTCCCACACCCCTTTCCCCCCCAAGAATAGTCAGTCCATTCCCTTTCTATGTCCCTGATTCTATTATAATCACCAGTTCATTCTGTTCATCAGATGATTTATTCACTTGATTCTTAGATTCACTTGTTGATAGATGCATATTTGTTGTTCATAATTTGTATCTTTACCTTTTTCTTCCTCTTCCTCTTCTTAAAGGATACCTTTCAGCATTTCATATAATCCTGGTTTGGTGGTGATGAACTCCTTTAGCTTTTCCTTATCTGTGAAGCTCTTTATCTGACCTTCAATTCTGAATGATAGCTTTGCTGGATAAAGTAATCTTGGTTGTAGGTTCTTGGTATTCATCACTTTGAATATTTCTTGCCACTCCCTTCTGGCCTGCAAAGTTTCTGTTGAGAAATCAGCTGACAGTCGTATGGGTACTCCCTTGTAGGTAACTGAGTTTCTTTCTCTTGCTGTTTTTAATATTCTCTCTTTATCTTTTGCTCTTGGCATTTTAATTATGATGTGTCTTGGTGTGGTCCTCTTTGGATTCCTTTTGTTTGGGGTTCTTCGCGCTTCTTGGACCTGTAAGTCCATTTCTTTCACCAGGTGGGGGAAGTTTTCTGTCATTATTTCTTCAAATAGGTTTTCAATATCTTGCTCTCTCTCATCTTCTGGCACCCCTATAATTCTGATGTTGGTACGCTTGAAGCTGTCCCAGAGGCTCCTTACACTATCCTCGCATCTTTGGATTCTTTTTTCATTTTGCTTTTCCGGTTGGGTGTTTTTTGCTTCCTCGCATTTCAAATCATTGACTTGATTCTTGCACTCCTCTGGTCTGCTGTCAGGAGTCTGTATAATATTCGTTATTTCAGCCCGTGTATGCTTAATTTCTAGTTGGTTCCCCAATATAACATCGAGGGTCTCATTAGTTTTCTTGTAGATCTCATTAAGTTTATCGGCGGCTTCTAAACAGTTCTTGAGAGACCTTAAAAGTGTGGTTCTGAACTCTATATCTTCCATTGACAATTTTGTCCTGTTTCTTTGTCTCCGCATTTTGTTATGCTTCCTTGGTGCACCCCCTAGTGGTCTTTGTGCGCAGTCTTATAGTTAAACCTTGATTGTTGTAGCTAATTCCAGGGAGGGTTTGACCTCCAGGCCAAGTGGCTATGAGAATCAGCTGTGTCTGCAGTGAGAGAACTTCTGTCCTCTAGGGAGGTGCTAATCTGGCGTTTGCCTGAGGCTATCTGGCAAATGCCTCTGTGCAGGGCTTGGGCGGGGCGGGTTGCACAGGATCAACAGGGTGGGCCGGAGAGAGCAGTTATGGCGGCTCTCAGTCCTGTCCCCAGGGGCTCTGCCTCTCTGAGGCCCAGCACCCGCTGCAAACCTCGGAGAGAAAGCTGCACTCGCTCTGACCGAAGCCAGACAGTCCCACTTCTCCCGTTTGAGTCTGGGTCCCTAAAGACTCGCCCGGATCTGGAGCTCAGAGTCTGCGACTCCCTCCCGATTGAAAACGCCAACCGCGCCCTCCGCCGCCAGCCCGCTCCACGCACTCCGCACCTCAGAATTTGACTTCAGCACTGCGCCTCCTCTGAGGGTCCGTATGCATTTCTCTTTCCTCCTAGTTGTAGGACTTCCACTCAGCCATCGTTCCTGTGGTTCTGGGTGATGTCTGTTCGGTTTTTTAGTTTCACTTTTGAAGTAGTTGTTCAAGGCAGCAAACTCCGGCGTTAACCTATGCCGCCATCTTGGTTCTCCGAGTTGTAAGAATTCTTTACCTCGTCTGGATACAAGTCCCTTCTACAATATATGATTTGAAAACATTTTCTCTCATTCTATGGATTGTCTTTTCTTTTAAAAAAATATATTTTTTATTGATTTTTTACAGAGAGGAAGGGAGAGAGATAGAGAGCCAGAAACATCAATGAGAGAGAAACATCGATCAGCTGCCTCCTGCACGCCCCCCACTGGGGATGTGCCCGCAACCAAGGTACATGCCCTTGACTGGAATCAAACCCGGGACCCTTGAGTCCGCAGGCCGACGCTCTATCCACTGAGCCAAACCGGTTCTGGCATATGGATTGTCTTTTCATGTTGATGGTATCCATTGAAGCACAAACGTTAATTTTTATGAATCCAATTTAGCTATTTTTTCTTTGGTTATTATGCTTTAGGCATCATATCAAAATAATAAAAATAAAAAAAATAAAGGAAGAAAGAAAGAAAGGAAGAAAAAAGAAAAGCATTGCCTACCTAATCCAAAGTTATAAAGATTTATATCTAAGTTGTTTGTAAGAAGTTTGTAGTTTTTGCTCTATTATTTAGATTTATTATCCATTTTTAATTGTTTGTATATGATATAAGGATCCAATTTCATTCTTTTGCATAAGGATATTTATTTGTCCTGATACAATTTTGAAAAAATGATTCTTCCCCCATTGAATTGTCTCCTCACCCTTGCCAAAAATCAATTGCCCATAAAGGAGAAGTGTTGCCCTGACCTGTTTGGCTCAGTGGATAGAGCATCGGTCTGCAGACTCAAGGGTCACAGGTTTGATTCCGGTCAAGGGCATGTACCTTGGTTGTGGGCACATCCCCAGTAGGGAGTGTGCAGGAGGCAGCTGATCGATGTTTCTCTCTCATCGATGTTTCTAACTCTCAACTCTATTCCTCTCCCCCTCTCTGTAAAAAATCAATAAAATATATTTTTTTAACAAAAGGAGAAGTGTTAGTTCTGGACCCCTTTCTATCCCATTGATCCATTTGTCTGCCCTTATGCCAGTACCACCCTGCCTTGACTACTGTAACTTTGGAGTAAGCTTTGAAATCCGTAGGTGTGAGTCACACAACCGCGCTCTTGGCTGAGGTTGTTGGACCCTTCGAACAGGCATGTCTCGCATCTCGAGCGCATGTTTGGTGGCTGGGTTTCAGGCATGGTGTGACCAGAAGCCCAGTAGCACCATCAAGGACCTGGCCTTCCCATGCTCCCCTGCCTGCCACCTTTAGTACTGGCTTCATCCTAGCTCATGACTTGCTTTCCTCACTTGAGGTAAGTTCAGTGGAGACATTCCTTAAATATATTCAAGCAGGATCCTTCGCTTCTCTGGAACACAAAGAGGCAAGTCCCTTCCCCAGTGTTGTCCAATAGCAGCAGTCAGCGGTGAGCAAGCCTGCATCCTAGTCCAGAAGCACTTCTTTTAAGAACGTCACGGGCAGTAGCAGGGCCCCTCTGTGGCAACGCTCAGAGGCACCATCCATGTTGAAAGCCACATAACTGGCACCCCCTGGGGCTTAACTCCTTCCGGTTGCAAAATGAATGACGTGATTTTGAAGAAGGGTACGTTTGTCTAAATAGTTACAGTGTATTCATTTCACCTTCCCCTAAAAAAGTAATGTCAAGAGGTCCCCATGGTCTCCTGTACTAGTCACCCAACCTAGTTTTGAGACACACACCTGCGTGTGCTCACATTGTGCTGGGTAGAGTTGGGGGTGGGGGGAGATAAAGGGGCTACCTGGTCCCCAAGAACTGAATGCCTCTCAGGGAGGGAGGCGAGGGCAGCCAGGGTGTGTTTTATGGAGGAAGCAGCGGTAAGAGGCAGGCAACCACCTTCAAGAAGCCACACAAGATCTGGACTCTGAGTCCTCCAGCTTGGGCACCACTGGGCTGTGCAGCTTCAGGCCAGTCACTTAACCTCTCTGAACCTAGGTTTGCTCATTCACCAATCGTCACTGATACCCCATCCTTGCTAGGGCTCTTGTGAAAGCTAAAGGAGATGTAGGCAGATTTTAATGGTGCTTTGGTCCCTCCCTGGGGAATGGTGTCAAGAATAAAGAATGAGAGGTTTGTTTTTCCTCCTAGAAATTTATATTGGACAAAATGGAGACCGTGAAATTTATCTTACTGCTCATGGAACCCAGTGTGTGCTGGACAGGCGGTAGACACAAGGACCAGGGATTCAGAAGTTGCCCCAGACCCTTCAGAAAATGTCCGACGAGGCAAGATATAATCCCAAGGGCCCCCATTCCCACCACTGAGCATTCAGAGTACTCCTGCCTGCGCTGACCCACCAACGGCAACGGCCACCGGGCCGGCCAGTATCACGACCATCTTCTAACCTGCTTGGTCTCCTTTTCTCACCACCAGCACCCTTGAGTGGGTGAGAGCCAGCCTGGGGCAGTGAGCGAATGGGTGGGGTCCTGGGGCCAGCTGGGATGGGGTGCAGTTCTCTATGATGGGGGGTTGACAGGGATCAAGATGAGGTCTGCCTGGGACCATGGGGAAGAGACAGGGGTTCCTGAGTCAGAGGCAGCAGCCAGGTGGGAAGTCCCAGGCTGGAGACCAGCAGCCAGGAGCCAGGACTGCCTTTGAGTCACTGGTGGGTTCACCTGAGACCACGGAGCTCTGCCTGGCTGTCGGGATGCCTGAGTCACAGAAACTCTTGTAAAGAGCCACCCAGGGCTGTAGGATACAGGAGAGCCTGCCTTGCACGCAGCAGACTGGGGAGCACAGTAGACTAGGGTACTGAATTGTGGGGGCGGGGGGGGGGCATTTCATCACTGGTCCCAGAATCTGAATTCCAAGTCAGTGCCTTCTGCCCACCCCTGAGGGTCCCGGAGAGGCCAGAAAGGAGTGCTATTCTTCGGGAGGCCTTGGCACGGCCAAGCCCCTCTCTGCCGGTTTTCCCACCTGCAATATTGGGCGAGAGGGTCTCAGGGAGGCCCCTCCCCAGGTTCACATTCTAGGTCAAGGCTGGAAAAGCTTGGTCTGCACGGAGGGCGCTCATTTGGTTTTATTGTGTCGCTGGGGTCAACTCATCCCAGCAACCAGCGTGGCTGTGAAAAGAATTCACCGCTGGAGGTCTGCCTGCCGGTGAGAACTGGTGTAGGTGACAGTTGAACAGTTGAAAGTTAAGAGCAGCCGTTGAGCTGCGAACTGCAGTAAAGCAGCAAATGAACTGTCAAAGGGGCGTTTCAGAAAAGATGGGGCTACTCCCTCCACAAACACAGAGGTCTGCTCTGTGTGTGCTCCCCCAGGTGCTGCTGGGGGAGGGGGATGGGAGGCTGGGGGGGGGGGAGGACTTGGCCACCGAGGTCATTAGAGCTAAACATGACAGGCGGCCACGTGTGGTCAGGTCTAAAGAGCAGTTTGAACACAGGGGCTCTGAGGAGGGAGCATCCTTTGGAGTTTCTGATCTCACGGGCCTTTGGGGCTCAGAGGTCCTCTCAGGTCGGGCTGCAGGCAGGTTTCAGGAGGAGGAGGTTGGGGGGGGGGCGCTGAAGGAAGTGGAGGGAACACAGGGGTCGGGACTTCCAGGTTGGCTACGGGTGGAGGAACCTGCTGGGCAGTCGGAGCAGGTGGGCCCCTAGGCCAGGCCATGAGGCTGGGCTTCAGTCCAGAGGTCACACGTGAGGGTGTCTGGTCCATCCGGCCGCTGTAACAGAAGACCGTGGCCGAGCGGCCTCACAGCAGACATTGGTTTCTCCCAGTTCTGGAGGCTGGGAGTCCAGGATCAAGGCAGCGGCAGGACTGCCCCGTTCACTGGACTGTCCTCTCGCTGTCCTCCCATCGCGGCCGGGGCTGGAGGGGGAGGGGTGGCGGGGAGGGAGCTCTCTGTAGCTGCTTTGTAAGGGCACTAATCCCATTCGTGAGAGCAGAGCCCTCAAGACCTACTCACCTCCCAAGGCCCCACGGTTAATGGGGGGTAGGATTTCACCGTATGAGAGGGGGTGGGGAGGCATGAACGCTCAGTCCATGGCAGAGACCCCCTCACGTTCATGCTCACAGTTCCCTTTCTCTCCCCACAACCACTTTCCAGACCTGAAGCATCCCATTAACCCCCCTGTTATGTGGGTACACGTTAGGCCAGTGATTCGCGGGCCTGCATACACATCAGGAAGGCTTGTTACACAGGGCGTGGCCCCACCCCAAGGGCTTCTGGCCCGGCAGGTCTGGGCTGGGGAGGCCTTAGAATTTGCATTTCGAACTAGATGCCCGGTGACGCCGATGCTGAGGGTCCCAGGGCCGCACTTTGAGAACCACTGCCTTAGAGTCATGGCCAATCTTAAATGCCTAAGCCAGGATGTGACCCACCTGGAGCACATCTCCCACTGCCAGGACTCCGAGTCCCCATCTGCATGATGGGGTGCACCTGGCATTCTGGGAGGGCCGCCCCCCACTCCACCTCACCTGCCTGCCCTCCTGCCAGGTGCTGGACGTAGTACCCCCATATGGGCCCAGGCATGGCTGGCTGGCTTTGTAGCTTCGCCTGCCAGGGCTCTGCAGAGAGCTGGTCGCCGTCCTGTCCCCTGCCGTCTGCCTGCTGTGCACCTGGTGTGCATTCGTAGGTCAAGTTCAGATGCTTTGTCACACTCCTTGCAAAGCAGGATGGTCAGAGCAGACTCCTGGTGTGGCCGTGACCTGGCCATCAATCTACAACCTAACAAGCCCCCAGGGCAGTGGTCGGCAAACTGCGGCTCGGCAAACCGTGGCTCATGAGCCACATGCGGCTCTTTGGCCCCTTGAGTGTGACTCTTCCACAAAATACCGACTTCTGCGCATGGGCCACGAAGTTTCAATCGCACTGTACATGCGCACCTGCACGTGGTATTTTGTGGAAGAGCCACACTCAAGGGGCCAAAGAGCCGCATGTGGCTCGCAAGCCGCGGTTTGCCGACCACGGCCCCAGGGGGTTCTGATGCAGACGGAGCTCCAAACACAGGCAAGAAATACTGGATGTCAGAATGTCAAAAAGGAGAAAACCTGGTCCACGTTGGCCTGGCCTTCAGCCGGGAAGGATGTTGGAAGCATGAAAGCAACAGAGTGACACCTGAAAATAATTTGATCACAAAAAAATTAAAAATACATCTACTGCCCGGCCAGCCTGGCTCCGTGGTTGAGCCTCAACCTCTAAACCAGGAGGTTACAGTTTGATTCCTGGTCAGGGCACACGCCTGGGTTTCAGGTTCGATTCCCCAGTGTGAGGCATGCAGGAGGCAGCTGATCAATGATTCTCATCATTGATGTTTCTCTCTCCCTCTCCCTTCCTTTCTGAAATTAATAAAAATATTTTTAAAAAACTATATCTACCTCAGAACACATAAAAATATTTAAAGACAATAAACTGGGGGGAAATGTTGAGAAAGGTGAAAAAGGAACAATATTTGATATTTTAAAAACTCTTACAAAGAAAAAGATTGACACCAATTGCTCCTATTTAACAAATCGCAAAGTAAGTAAAAATGGCCTATAAACATGAAACCTATTTCAGGTCACTGAAAATAAAAACCATATCATTTCTTCCCACCTAAAATGCTTAAGCTAGTGCGCTACTGCTTGTAATTTAGGCTCACAGACACTGCGATGCTCTCTGCAGAATAAACTCTCTGGAAAGCAACTTGATAGGTCTCAAGAGGCTTAAAATGTTTATGTCCTTTGGCTCTGTAATTCTAGGTCAAGAAATTTAAGTTAATAAAGCCAGAGCTAGTTGGTTCCAAATGGCAGCAAGCCCGAACTCAACTGGGCTTAAGCCAAAAAGAGAATGCGTTGAATTTTAACATGGAAAGGCTAGGATTCCAGCTTGAGGCACAGCCGCATCAGGGGCTCACTGTCAGCAGAATCCAGTCCGCCTTTGTCTCTGGCCTCTGCTCTCTGCATGTGGACTTCATTCTCACGTTCCACTTTAACAAGCCGGCCAACCACCTTGGCCTGGAAGTCAGAGGAAAAGAGAGAATGTCTCTTCTCAGTAGGCACGGGGCAAGTCCCAGGGTTCATTCTGATTGGATCACCTTGGGTCATGTGGCTCCTTTTAAACAAATTCCTGATTGGCCAGGCCTAGGCTACCGAGTCCATTCTAACCGATCTCTATAATTAGGGGGGATTCCATGTTCTGATTGTCCAGGCCTGGGTCAAATTTTTATTTGAGTTTTATGGAGGTGGCTAGAAGCTAGTCCCCTGGAGCTGGTGGTGGGTGCCGCATGAACTTCATGGACTGAAAGAAGGGGACAGGTGTGGTTCCCCAAAGGGAAATCAAGCTTCTGTCATCAGAGGGAGGTGGGGCCTGGAGCTGAGCAAACAAAAGCAAGAATGTTTGTCACAGATGCAACCAGGTGGCTGTATGAAGATGTCCACCACATTGCTATCTATAGTAGCCAAATTGGAAACAACCTAAATATCTCAGAGGAAGAGTTTAGTCAATGATGCCCAAACGTTGTGATTTTGTAATTCGGCAGCCATGAAATTACAAGTCCAAAAATATTTGATGTAAAACAAAATAGGATGTAAAGCAAAGTGAAATAAGCAGGGTTTTTTGTTTGGTTTTTTTTCAGTAGACAATAAAGAAGTACAAATTAGCAGTTACGAATAGTCACGGAGATGTAAAGTACAGCATAGAGAATACAGTCAATAACGTTTTAATAACTATGTGTGGTGCCAGGAGGTACTGGACTTATGGGGTGGGGGTGGGGAGTCACTTGGTAAATTATATAAATATATAACCACTTATGCTGGACACTTGTGCAAAGTAATATTGAATGTCAACTGTAATTAAAAAATAAAATAAATTTTAAATTAAACAGAGATGAAAAATTCTAGTTGTCTACATAGGATGGTTTAACTGAACTAAGTCAAGTTCAGTTTCTTTACAATTACTGCTCTGTCATGTTGGTACTATTTAAATGAAGGAATATTGAGTACAATGGGGCTGGAGACATTGTAGGTTGAAATGATTCCAAATCATTATAAACTTACTCTAAAAAAAAAAAAAAGTAAATTATAAACCCAGTTTGGTAAAAAAAATATCCTATATAATAGAAAGGCTAATATGCAAATCAATTGAATGGCGGAACAACCGGTCGCTATGATGCACACTGACCACCAGGCGGCAGACGCTCAACACAGGAGCTGCCCCCTGGTGGTCAGTGTGCCAGAAGCCGGGCTCATGGCTGGCAAGCACTGTGGTAGTGACAGGATCCTTTCCTGCCTCCGTGGCAGCGCTAAGGATGTCTGACTGACAGCCTAAGTCAGCAGTTGGACATCCCCTGAGGGCTCCCGGACTGCAAGAGGGC